ACCCCCCCCAAGCCCCATGAGCCCCCCAAGCCAGCTGGGCCCTGTAAGCTTCCTGAGCCACCTGAGCACCCCAAGCCCCCATGAGCTTCCCAAGACTCCTGAGCTTCCCAAGTCCCAATATCCCCCCAAGCCACCTGGGCCCTGTGAGCACCCCAAGCCCCACAGGCCCTGAGAGCTTCCTGAGATCCCCAAGCTTCGAGTCCCACAAGCCATCCAAGCCCCATGAGCCCCCGAACCTTCCAAGTCCCATGAGCCCTTCAAGTTCCCCTGAGCCTCACGAGCCACCTGGGCCCTGTGAGCTTCCCAAGACCCCCAACCTTCTCGAGTCCCACCAGCTCCCCAAGCCCCAGGAGCCATCTGGGCCCCCCAAGCCCCTTGAGCCACCTGGGCCCTGTGAGCCCCCCAAGCCTCTTGAGTTCCCCAAGCCCCATGAGCCCCTGAGCCCCTTGACCAGTGGGCGCCCCATGGGATTTCCCCACTCCGGGGAGACCTCGCACCACCCATTTGGCCGCGGGGTGCCAGCAGCAGGCAGAGGCTGTGGCTGCCCATCCTCGCCTGAGGGCAGGAAAGGTCTTCTCCAGCGCTCCAAAGCCATCAGGCTCCTTCAAGCACGGAGGGCCGGGGAGGTTGGGATGAATCCCTCTCGCCAAGGGCTCAGCAGAGCCCAAAGCATCCCGCCCGGGTGGCCTCGGCAGCACGCAGGGCGCCCCAACTCACTCTGCAGGCGGAGGGCTGGAGGCCACCAGCTCTCCGGCCTTGCGCAGGGTTATTTCGGCCGGCGGGTTGCTCTCCACGGTGCAGGTGAGGATAGCTGCCCTCCCCTCGCCCGCCTCCAGGAAAGCCTTCACCTGCAGGTTCCTGGGGGGGTCTGCAAAGGGAACGAGAAGAGAAGAGAGAAGCAGCTGAATTGAGGAAAACCGCTTGTTTTGGTAACTGGGAAACAGCCGGGCTCGGCGGAGCGGTGCTGGGTGACATTCCCGAGGCTGCAACATGCAGCCGGTGGGGCCGGCTAGTCTCGCTCCCTGCAGGGCTCTGAGCTCCGGTGACCAAGCTTTTCTGCCAGGATTTGCTAAGCGGTCGGTAGCAGATCCCTCCTTCGGGGAGCTCAGCCTCCTTCGGCAGCCCTGGGCCGCTGCCTCCAATCCGGCTGTTATCTGAAATAACCCGCCGGGGACTTCTCCGAGCTCCTTTTTGTCCCGCGAAAAGCCCTGCGGCGCTCCCGGCTTGAGGCGCATGGGTCGGCCCTGGCTCGGGCTGCACCCCGCTCTCCGGAGAAAACCCTTGGCACAGCAATGCGTGGAAACCTCGAGAGCGAGCCTTGCTGAAAAGCCACGCAGATGGATGTGCGTTGCAATTTAGGCCCATCGTGCCTAGAATTTTTTTTTTTTTTTTTTAAAAGAAACATCCCTCTCCCTTTCCCTATCCAAAATCAGGAGGGAGGAGAGAAGCAATAGATTTGTTGCCTAAGTCCGAGTCTTTTCCAGGAGAGCTACTCAGCAGCCACTCCCCACAACAGATTTGGAAGTTAAAGCCATTTTTTTCCCTGCTAAAAAGGAAAGTCTTCTGTTCTGACTTGCAACTACATTTTTTGTGCATGTCTTTTTTTTTTAAACAACGTCTGTTTCTAATTTTCCAAATCGGGGCAGGGGGAACTGGGAAATCACGCAACGTCTCTTGAAAGCCAAACATTTTTCTTTTTCGCTCTCAACACAGAACGTAAAGTTGGGGAATTTGGAGAACCAACACTTGACTGAATTTTTCTGCGGCCCCTACGTGGGGCAGCTCAGCCGCTCCGGATTTCCAGGCTTAGTTATGACCCGAGATGAAAGCTAACACAGACTATTTGCTACTGAGTGCCCCCAAAACAGCGTGAGGCCCCGCAGG